TCTCTTGTTGTATTTTTTTCCTGTTTTTTTCATTTGGGATATAGTTCTCTGTCTTCTCATTTTGTCTACCTCTCTGTGTCTGTTTTTGTGTAATAGGAAAGTCAGCAATGTTTCCTGCTCTTGAAAGCAATGGCTTTAAGAAGGATAGGTCCTATAGTGCCTTACAGTGCAGCAACCCCTGTTCCCTGGCACTTCAGAGGATCTCCTTTGTGTATTGCATGCACCCTGCTGTTGTGTCCTCGCTGCTTTTTCCTTCAGTTCATTCATCTGCAGAGGTTCACTTTGCCTGTTGTGGACATCATTTAGTCCCCAGCCAGGATGAGGTGCACAGTTTTAACAAGGTGAGCTCAGGTCTGCTTGCAAAATGAGACCTGCTTCTGCTGTGAGGATCAAGTACCCACAAAATTCACCGGTTGGATGATATGGTGTTGGCAAGATTTTTGCAGGTCTTTTGGGAGAGGGGACTGAGGCAAAAAGTAACTGAGAAGGGCAGATCTGCTGATACACAGGTGGGTGGGGCTTGGTGTAAGCAAGTTAGGTGCTGAATACTGGCTTTGTGCTGGCTCCTGCAGGCTCCTGCAGGTGTCCTTTTTATGCTGGGGGGCAAGGGAGGGAGAATATGCCTGCCAGCTCCTTTGTTTCTGGAGAGGTCTTCCTGTGAGCCCTACCCCTCCAGGACACTTTCTGACAGGAGTAAATAACTGTCCCTCCCATGTGCCCCTGGGTTTTTTTAAACTGCTGCTTCTGGGTTATATATCTGCAGGCTGTTTGTCCTGCTGTCTCTTTAAGGGAGAGGACTCAGCTTCCTATCACTCTCTAGGTTCTCCCAGAACTGAGCATGCAGTTTTAAAATTCCATGCTTTAAGTCTCTCTGGTTTTTAGAACTCATAAAATTCAGCCCCTCTGGCTTTCAGTGCCAAATGTTGTGGGGTTTCGTCTTCCTTATGTAGACTCCCCAGTGTGAAAGTCTTTCTTGCCCTTCTCTGGACCAGTGTCTCCCTCCTGACTGTGGATGGTTGTGGTCCATTTTGCTCTCCACTGTGTCTCCTCCCTTCCTACCCTCTTCGGTGTGCCCTATTCTTTACCTTCAGTTGTGGAGTCTGTTCTGCATTCTTTGGTTCTTTTTCTGGGTTATTTATGCTGATGTGTTATCTAGTTGTATCTATGGGATGAGGTGAGCTTAGGGTCCTCTTACTTCACCATCTTCCCAACTTCCTCTCTAATCTTTGATATTTTAATTATTATGTGTCATGGTGTGGATGTCTTTGGGTTCATCTTTTTAAGAACTCTCTGAGCTCCCTAACCTGGATGTTTGTTTCCATCCCCACGTTATGGATGTTTTTAGCTATTACTTCTTCAAATAAGTTTTCTGTCTTTTTATCTCTTCTCCTTCCAGGACCCTATATTACAAATATATGTTGTCCCAGAGATCCTTTAACCTATCCTCATTTTTTAAAGTTCTTTTCTTCTTTTTGCTCTTCAATGGGTGCTCTCCATTATCCCGTCTCCCAGATTGTTGATCTGTTCTGTATTCTCTGATCCAATGTTGATTCTCTCTAGTGTTTTTTCATCTCATTTATTATATTCTTCAACTCTGTTTGGTTCTTTTTTATATTTTCTATCTCTTTGTTGAAGGTGTCACTGAGTTCATCCACTCTCCCATCTGATGGGCATCTTTATGTCAGTATTTTGAACAATTTATCAAGCAGATTATTTATCCTCATTTCCTTTAGGTTTTTTTTCTATAGTTTTATCTTGTTCTTTAATTTGATGCATATTCTTCCATCTCCTCATTTTACTTGGCTTTCTATGTTTGTTTCTATGAATTAGGCAGAACAGCTACTTCTCTTAAACTTGAAGGAATGGCCTTATGTAGGGATGTCCCCTGTATTGTCTGTATGCCTGGTGACTTTGGCTGGCTCGCTGGATCTTTGGCTGGATGGAGGTCCTGGAGCACTATGCTGGGGCTGCCCTTGTGGCATGGCCAGAGCAGCGGTTGGTGCAGGGCAGGATATTCCTGGGGCTCTGGTTGCAGAGGGCATGCTGGGTGGACAGCTGAAGCTGAAGTGGATGTGGCTCAGGGCTCTTTGCATTGAGGGCACCTTGGCAGGACAGGTAGAGCTTAAGTGGGTGGAAGGCAGGGTGTCCCACTGCTCTCTGCACAGAGTGTGCCCTGGCAGGAGGCCTGAAACCAAAGTGAGTGCAGATCAGGATGCCCCAAGGTACTCTGTTCAGGGGGTTTCCTGGTTGAGTGGCTGAAGCTGAGGTGGATGCAGGCCTGGGGGTTCCTTGCACTGTGCTGGGGATCCCCTGGCAAGTCATCCTGAGCCAGTGTAGTATGGGCCTTGATGTTCTAGAGCACTTTGAGCCTATGTCATGTTGGCGAGGTGGCTGGAGCTGTAGTGTGTGTGGACCAGAGTGTCCTAGTGTGCACCACACTGGGGCCCATCTTGGTGGGGCTGGTATGGGCTAGAGGCCCCAGGCTTACTGAGGGGATAGGCTGGCTATGGCCATCAGACCCTGATTCCATCTGTGCTGTTGAGGTGGAGTGGGGATGTGAGCCGTGCAGCTTGACAGCCCTTCTGATTCAGAGAGAGTTCCAACAGCTGCTCCACTGGTTGACAGGATTCAAATGGTGGTTCCTTTATATTCTCGTTGCCTCTTTAAGCTTTGGCTTTTTTTCTGTGCCTCTGGGCAGACGAATCTGCTCATGGTTCCTCAGTAGTTAGTCCCTTCCCACTGTAGTTCATAACATCAGGAATGGGGATTCCCTTCATTACCATGTCTCTGTCTCTCTTGCTGTTCTCTATGTGGTCTCTCCATCTTTTGTTGTGCAGAAGCTGTTCAGTCAGCCCTCGGTTCTTATTCATATAGTGAATAAGAACTTATTCACTTATTTCTTATATATAGTAGATAACTTATTCATATAGAGCAACTGCTCTATAAATAGGTGAAGAGTTAGTGTGTTTGTGTAGGAGGTGAGTTTAGAGTCTTTCATTGCCATCTTGGACTGGAATCTTGCAAAAGTTTTTAATTTTGATGAAGTTTGGTTTTTCTACTTTTTATTTTCTTATTTGTGCTTAAGTTACTCTTGGTAATTCTATTGAGAATGAGCAAGGATGTAGGACCTCATAAAATGAGTAGTTGATTTGTAGACTTACAGTTTACTTCTGAAATTATTTGAGTAAGAGATGGTTTAAGGGGATCATTGTCAGTGAATCACAAAATTTTGAAAAGATGTTTTAGAAAAGAGCAACAATGTGACTAGAACAGTTTCCTATTGTGATGTGTTTGATACAAATGTATTCTTAACCCCTTGCCATACAGTGAAGCTCACTGATACCTGCCTAGTGTGTTTGCAGGTGGTGAAGGTATGAAATCATGTGCTGTTTTCTTGTCTCTATTTAATTTTATTCCAGAGCAAAACCCAAAGGACAAGACGGCCTCTTCTTGGGACACTAGGTTTTGCCAGAGAACTTACAGGGGACTGATTGGATTTCTTGTCATCCCAGAATTGCTGGAACTGAGCCTTAATTCAAAGCATTCTTTAGTAAATTATACTTAAGGCTATGGCATTGTAGAGCCCTATGCCCATTTGCAGTTTGACTGTTGGCTCAACACTCCTGTCACATGTCATCCAGCATCCACTTTAGTCACCTTCAGTGACAAGATACTCATTATTTCTCAGAGGTCCCATTTTCATCTGACAGTGTTCTTGTGAGGATTAAAATGTATAAGGAAGTTAGTATAGTGTCAAAAAATGCATGAAAGCTCTTATTGTTTCTGTTGAAAAGTTTCTGCTTTGTTGAGTTAAAATCTCTCTTCCTGGAGTAATCTCATTTAATCCTACCTCTTACCTCTTATGACCCCATAGAGCAGCTCTTTCAAAACATAGCCCTCAAATATTAAAGAATTATTATATAAGCTAAATAGCCACAGTTCTTTTGATCTTTTCTTCTGTAACTTCTTTTTTTTAATTGTTTCTACTTGCTTGTTAGCAGTTATAGTGGTTCCCAAACCTGTCTGCACATCAAAATTGTCTGAGGGACTTTTACTAAGTACCAATAATACCTGAACTTGTAGGTCTGGTACAGGACACAAATGTACATTTTTAAAGAGCACCTCAGTTGATTCTGATGTATGCAGTTTGGAACCTGTAGCTCTATAACCTACTGAGAGATAAATCACAGTGTTAAGTGTTAGGGAGAAGAGGCTGTGACTGCTAACTTGGTCCCATAAAGCAGGGTTTCTCAACTTCTGCACCATTGATATTTTGGGCCATGCTTATTTGTTGAGGGGGATTCTCCTTTGTATTTTAAGATTTTAATAGCATTCCAAGCCTCTAGATGCCAATCGTCTATTCCTGTCCGTCCCCCAAGTGTGACAAGCAAAAATGTCTCCAGATGTTGCCACATGTCCTTTGGGGGAGAAAATCACCCCAAGTTAAGAGCCACTGCCAAAAAGAATAGAAAAATCCTAGTTTTGGTAGTGGATAATAGCTAAAAGCAGCCCTCAATATTTCTTTCAGTGTTCTCTTGCATAAATAGATATTACAAGTGACTAGCATAAAATTGGGAGGCTGGGTTAGATCTGGTTTAAATATATCAACCGTATTTCAGTTTTTCTAATTTTCTTATATATAGTAGATTATGCATGGTCTTGTAATACACCATTAATCCTAAGCAACTGTGGTCTTCTTTAAACCTTCCTGTGTATGGTATTAATAGCCATATCAATTTGATACATCCTCCAATAGCAGAAAAAGAATCCTCCATTTAGGTCTTTCAATGATTTTTTATCCTGCTCTTTTGTTACTGATATTTACCCTTCTATGTATATGCCACCTTCCTTCCACACACACACACACACACACCGCCCCCCTCTGCCCCGAGTACTCAGGTACTGGCTCTAGAAGAAGCATGTATTTGAGGAGCAGCATCCTGTGAGCCCATGAGCTGTTGTCTGTATAAACTAGGTCCGTCTTCAACTTTGTCTTGCAGTGAGAGCTTATAAGAAAATTGTTGAATTGAGACACATGCTGGAAATTGCTGAGAGCAACTATAAACACCTGGGAGGGATAACAGAAGAAGATCTAGAGCAGAAGAAAGAACAGCTTGAGTCTGAAAAGTAATGTCCTCAAAACTCTAATGGTTTGTTTTAGTTACCTTTCTAAATGCTATGTGAAGGTTTGTTGATGAACAACTTGTTTTTCCATCCTTAGCAAAGAATGTAAGGTTCTATCCAGTTTTTCTCTTAAGGCCCCAGATGGAGAAGGTGTTAAGATTATTTTTAGTTAAGGTAAAATACACATAACATGAAATGTATCATCTTAACCATTTTTAAGTGTGCAATTCAGTAGTATTAAGTACTTCTACACTTTTGTACAACCAATCTCCTGAATGCTTTTCATCTTGTAAAACTGAAACTCTATAAAGACTTTAAAAAAACTTTATTTTAGAGAGAGAATGAGAGCTTAAGCAAGGGGAGAGGGAGAGGGAGAGGGAGAATCACAAGCAGATGCCCTGCTAAGCATGGAGCCCAACATGGGGCTTGATCCCAGGACCCCGGGATCATGATCTGAGCTGAAATCAAGAGTTGGATGCTCAACTGACTGAGCCACCCAGGCACCCCAAGACTTTTTTTTGAAACCACAGCTACTTTGAGCTTTTCAACCAACCATCTCTAACCATTCCTATCCAATTGGACTGGAAGAGTGGTACGTGGAGCCAGAATTTGAGCCTGAGTCTGTTGGACTGCAAACCTGTTATTTAAGAGGATTATGATTTGGAACTTCTAGCTCTAATAATAGCATTTCACTGTGAAATGGTTATACTATTAATGTGATTTTGAACAGATTTTTTTTTCAAGATTGCTTTGCCTTTGAGCCAGAATGTACTTTCATGTCAGCTGAGAATGAAGTGTGTCTTCTGAGTGAGCTTTAATACTTCTCTAGCATTGGTTCTCCACTTGGTGTTGAGTACATCTGAAGACATTTATTCTTTAGGTACAAACTCCTCTTTTAGGTCTAATTGTCAAGAAAAACTGGGTAAGTATTGGTTTGAGGGATGTCCTCTTAATTTTGTTGTGATCTGTTAGATCTGAGTCAAAATACAACAAAGCATGGTTGTATTACCATGTCCTGGGAATGATTTTCCCTTCTTATTCGCTCAATTCTAGGCTTCCTACCAGTCTTAACCCCACACACTTCCATACCAGAGCTACTACTGAATGCTCTTAGATCACCCTTCTGGGACCCTGATATCCTACCCAGGCTGCTTTGGGAATTCTCTTCCCCCCACCATCCAGCAATAAGACAGAAAAATACCCTGGTTCAAGTCACATCAACTCTTGTCTGGATTTATTTTAACATCTTCCTGATATGTCTCCCAGCTTCCTGTCCCTGCCCCCTAATTCCCAGTCCCCATACCCTGCAGTCTGTTCTCAACACAGTGTCCAGAGTAATCATGTTAAAACCTAGGTACAGTAAGTCTCACATACTTTTGACTAAAAGAAGCTAGGCACATAAGAGTATATAATATGCAGTTTCATTTATAAGCATAGGCAAAACTAATCTAACATGATAGATATTCAGAATGTGGTTCCTATGGGAAATGAAGGTTGCCTGGGAGGGACATGGGGGAACTTTCTGAGGTAATGGAAATCTATATCTTGGTCATGGTGGTGATTACAGGGTTTACCCATTAATCAAAACTCAATGAATTGTTCAGTTGCTTTTTGTGTATTTTACTCATAGTAACTTGTAGATCATTAAAAAAAGACAAAAGCAAAAGAAAAATCTCAGTGAGATCATGCCATTTCTCTGCTCAGACTCTCCAGTGGCTTCCCACTTTGCTCAGAGTGAGAGTCTAGGTCCTTGCTATGACTTCCAAGGCGCTGCCTGTTCTGGCTCCCTTTTGCCTCTCCGACCTGCTACTTGTCCTTTAAACTACTACACCACATTGGCTTCTGCTTTTCTTCCAGTTCACCAGGCATACTTCTGCCTCTGTCTGGAATGCTCTTCCCCCAGATGTCTACTTGCTTACCTCTCTTATTTCCTTTAGGACTCTGTTCAGAAGATCCGTTCTCAGTAAGGCCTTCCCTGGCCACTGTGTACGAAGTGTTAATCCCCTCCTTGACAACATTTGATATTACTCTTTCTTGCTTTATTTTTTTCGCCCTTAGCATTTTTCACCTTCCCCATACCATGTATTTACTTGTTTCTTTGTTGTTTTTCTCCCTCCACTGCTAAGGTAAGCCCCAGGAGGGCACATTTGGCCTGTTTTTTCCTTGCTGTATCCCTGCTGTCTAGATCAGTGCTAGCTCATAGTAGACTCCCGATTCATATTTGTCAAATAAATTATTTCTTTGTTTTATTTGCCTTAAATGCAATGCACGGATGCTTTTTACTCTGGCCAAAAATAATTATTAGTTGATACTGGAGATTGATTGAGAAAATTTTTTTTGACAGGACTATCAAGGAGCTGCAGGGCCAGCTGGAGTATGAACGGCTTCGTAGAGAAAAATTAGAAGGTCAGCTGGATGAGTATCGTGCAGAGGTGGATCAACTCAGGGAGACACTGGAAAGGATTCAGGTCCCCAACTTTGCTGTGGTTGGTGTCCTTCTTAACACATTTATCTCTCTCAACAAGTAGTAGATAAGAGTAGCTAAGAGCATAAGCTTTGGACTGGGACTCTTTGGGTTTGATTCTTGGCCACAACCTTTTTTAGTTTGGACAAGTCATTTAACCTCTCTGCCTTATTTTTAAACTGGAGATAATAATTTATACTTTGTAAAGTGTTGTAAAGACTAAAGGAATATATCTCTCTACATAGCTATGTCTTTATATATATAACTATATAAAACTTTATATGTACACACACATGCATACATATATATCCATATATGTACTGGTTAGAACAGCATCCTCATTCGTAAGTGTGTGTAAGTATTATTGAGACATATAAGAAAAAATATTTTTTTATCAGCAGAGTGATAAGAATTTTCAGGTACCTAGAGTATGTGTATTTTAATATTCTAAATAGCCAAAATAAAGTGGAATGGAATCCATGTAAGAAAGCTTCAGCTCATCAAAAGAAGTTTTTAGTATATGTGCTGCCAAAGTGAGCATATCCTCAAGAGAAGTTTGAAGAGTAGAAAGGAGCCAGAGTGGGAGTTGTCATAGCGTCCTTTGTTCAGATTACAGAGTAATGAAAGCTAACACTTGTAACACTTCACCTTTACAAAGTTTTTGTGTTTTCATATGTCATTTGATCTGCCCTCATTTAATATGTGAGGAAACCGAGGCTCAGAGAGGTTAAGTGACTTGTCTAAATTCACACAGCTAGTAATGGTGGGACCAGTATTCAGTTTCTAGCTTTTGACCCCATAGCCTTAGCTCTTTTCATAATTTCTAGCTAGAATTATGAATTTGGAATTCAGAATACAGCCCTAAAATACAGAAAGATGCTTTAGAGTGACAGGAAGGACAACTATGTAGAAGGAAGCTGAAAAATGAATATGAGAAACATACAAAGAACAAATACAGAAAAGCAGGTAGAATATAGAGAATAGAATGAAAACAGCAAGAAATTCGGGCCACCTCGTCTCAGAGTGGACAGGCAGAGAGCACTCTGGGGACACTCTGTGACCCTCACTCTCTTCTGTGAGTGAAGACGGCCATGATGTGGCCTTTGGGCAAGTTCTTGTAGCACGGCGTAGGGATTCAGGTTCGCTTCGTATTTTCCTTCCGGGCGGAGATGTTTTCTTCAGTCATCACGGGTGATTTAATTCTGCCCCAGATCTGTATCACCTCGAACCTGATTGATAAAAAAAAAACCTTCCTGGCTCCTTATAGTTTGCACAGACTTATCATTAGTCTCTTTAATAGCCACTTTAAAAATATTAAAATAGTCTATGTGCTTGTTGTAAAATGTTAAAAACAGGGCAGTTTTTCCTTCCCGCACCAAATCCCAGTCTCCGGAGGAGGCTACTGGCAACGGTTTGGTATGCCTGTTACACACTGTGCGATGCATTTACAAACACGTATGTGTATTTCTCTGCATGTACAAATTCAGATGCTTTCGCGGAGTTTTGGTATCTCACCAGTCCTTAATTTTCCAAGAGACGTAATTAATTATAACAACCCATTCTCTTCATTTTTGCGGTGCTCACCTTGTACCGCTCTCAGCCCCCGGGGGGACTTTGGTACAGCGAGGCCAGCCCTCACAGTCACAGGCTGTGGGCTAGAGGACTAGCGGACACTTACCTTCCGTTAACGACCGCGGGCAGTCCCAGCCCTGTTGTTGCCTTATCACCCGGGGGCAGGCACTTCGCCGACCCCGCCGCCGTGACAGGAGCGTGTGTTGCTTTGTCCCGCTCCTAGGTCTTAAAGAGATTACCCAAGCCTCACCTTCTTTTGAGTCATTGCAAATTGATTTGTCTGCCTAGAAAACTTTGGTTTTTTTGATGGCTGTTTAAAATATTTTCTTACCCGGGGTGCCTGGGTGGCTCAGTTGGTTAAGCGACTGCCTTCGGCTCAGGTCATGATCCCAGGGTCCTGGGATCGAGCCCCACATCGGGCTCCCTGCTCGGCAGGAAGCCTGGTTCTCCCTCTCCCACTCCCCCCGCTTGTGTTCCCTCTCTCTCTGTCTCTCTCTCTCTGTCAATTAAATAAAATAAAATCTTTAAAAAAAAATAAAATAAAATAAAATATTTTCTTACCCTGAAGTGTGTTTTCAGCGTCAAGTTCGATTCCATGCTCTCCAGCACATCCTCCCTCAAAACTTTGCTCTCTACCAACAATGCGTAGGTTTTCAGGAGAACTGACTCGAGCGCCCTGTCGTCTGGGCCCCCCCCCCTTTTTTTTTTGCAGTCCTGCTTTAGGTTAATCAAATTTTTGTAAATGAGCAAATGTCACCGACCTCTAATGGTGCTGCAGGCCTGGCACTGCTTTTCTGCAAAAGCTTCTGAGTCTCAATTTCATCTTTAAAAAGGGGAAAACCTATCTCACGAGATTGTATTGATGTTAAATGAAATACTGCGTGGAAATACTGAGGTATTTTCTACCAATAGTATTCATGGTAGTATATTCCCCCTTCTACATATCTTTTCTTTTTCCTTCATTTTCTGTATTCGAGTTTAATAAACATTGTCAGTAGATAAATGTATAGAGCCCAGTGTTTCTCCAAGTAGAGGAATTTGTTTATTTGGGACTGTAAATATATAAAGTAGAAATGAAATGAACTTTCCATTCAGTGCTCATTGATTCTTCAAGAAATTCTGCCTCAATCTCCTGCCACCTTCTGGTCAGGACCTATGGTTACATTCAGCTGTACCTTTAAGACTTCCCCCCCCCCCCAAATAACAATCTGTAATAGTATAATTTCTCTCCAGGAAAAAATTTCTCAGGGTAGTTTCTTAGGGTAGTTTGACATATGTAATGCACTTAACTAGTTTTTGATAATAATAACTATTACTGTTTTGATAACAGTAACTTTTTATAGCCCAAGGGTGTGGGCAGGAACAGCTTGGGGAATACTCAGTCCAGGGGTGGGCTCTGCCCATGGCCCTGTGCCTTGTGCTATTCTTGGAGCCCTTGCATTCAGCTCTGTCCTGACCAGCTGGGTGCAGGGAGAATTATTCATAGATGACTAACATCCACTGAACATCCACTGTATTTCTAGCCCTCTCTTGCTCCTTTCCATGGCATTCATTAAGTGAATCTTCTGTGCGGGGTCCTGAGAATACCGTGCTGGATGAGAAATATTTGGGAACAGTGGTGGCAGGCACAGTGGGCAGAAGAAGGCTGTGTGAACACAGAGGAGGGAATGGAGGAACCAAGAAATGTGATTCCTAGCACTACAGGGCTTGCAACGAATCCAGAGGAGGCCTTTCTAACACTGCGTATGTCAGTTAGCAGTATATTGAGAAGTGCTAGGGTAAGATAAAAGCAGAAATAACTAGGCATTCTCTTTTGGGGATGTATTCGGGTAGAGACAGGACTGGTTGATTTCTCTAGGTGTCCCCTAGTCTGTGAGTCAGCACAGAATATGATGTACTGGTACTTCAGATTGGAAAATTTACTTACACAAAATCCCAAAAGAAATTTAATCCAGAGTTGAAAATATTAGTATGGTTAAACTTTTTCTTGTGGAACAGATAATGTAGAAAGATGAAATTGTGTCTAGTGTAGCTTTCTCATTTGGCCCTCTTTTCCTGTTTGTAGGAAGATGACTCTTCTTGTGAGTCAAGCAAAGAGAAGAGGCGAATTAAGAAAAAGGTGTCTTCTGGGGGAGTTTTTGTGAGAAGGTACTGATCAGTGAAATAACTTTAAATAAACTTGCTTGATTTTTCTCTTTTATTTTTAAATTGATAGAAATGTAAATCTATATAAATTCTCCTCAGAGTTAATCTTATATAGTATTTCAATTCTGAAGGCAGAAATATGTTATATAATATCAAAGGGATTGCTAAAATTACATGTACTCAGCTGGACTCCCCCTCCCCAAATACTTTTTATATATTTATGAGTAATTGATTTTGCAAGTATTCACACAAACTTTAAAATATAAGGTGGTACAGTCTAGTAATCAAAAGAAATGTAGACATTAAAAATTATCTTTTACTTATTAGAGAGTATCATTTTTAAACTTTTCAAATGACTTTTAAAAAAGCATCTGGACTCAGGAGATAATGCAAATAAGACGAGTAAATTTTAGAAAAGGGCAACCAAATATCTCAGGACTAAGTTTTATATAAAATAAAAATCTCTTGTAAAAAAAAAAACCTCATAATATGTTTGCTAAAAGTACTGATTTAAATAATGTTTTAGAATTCAGCCATTGTTCTGTCTTGCAAGCTTTATAAGAAAGCAATATAAAAATGGGGCTGACTGGACAGGATAATAAATACATGGCTTTGTTATTCTCTCTTCCCTCCCCCGCCTCCTGATGTTGCTGACCAAAAAAACCACCACAGCATTTCATTTCAATTCTGACTTCATGCCCTCCTTTCTAACTCTACCCACTTCCTCCTCCGTGTAGCCAATTTGTTACTGTCTTGGGGCAGTTGCCTAGATCTGCCGCACCCTGAAGATCTGATTGTTGGCTTTGGGCCTTGCTGGCCACAGCCTTCTCACCACACCCCCGACTGCCCACCCTCTGGACCCTGGCACGTACTTTCCGTGGATGCTTAAAGGCCATTCTGACACAGTATCATCGGGACCAGTTTGCCCTAACATGAGCGTATTTGCATGGGAGACCAGTTCAGGCTGGTCGGAGGTCTGTAAGCCAGTTTTAAAAAATGCCTCACCTATCCTTTTGATCATTGTTAGTTTCTCTATGGTTTGCAAGAGGCCTTCGATCTATAATAAAACATTTATTTGGTACGTACTATGTGTGAGACCTGTGCCGAGTCCTTTCCACATACTATCTTTTAATTCTCACCACAGCAGTAGGAGATAGGTGTATTTTACAGATGGGAATTAAGTAATTTGCCCAGAATCACACAGCCCTGTGAAGCCAGGATTCTCACCTCAGTGGGGAAAGTTCAGAGTCTGCATTCTTAACCACTACAGGAATTCCCGAACCCAGTTTCTCACCTTCTGGGACTAGACACAGCCTTCCTTCCAGGCTGGTGACCCTAAGGTGAATCCCTACTCTGTACATAGTTTGTTATTCTTGCTCCAGTTTTCTCAAGGCCACATCTCCAGTCTCTCTCTGTACCACTGAGGTAGGAAATAACTAGAAGAGTGTTGTCATAGAAGCGTGCACCCTTGAAGGAAGAGGTTCCCTGGTTGTCCCCCAGTACCTGTTCTCCCTTTTTTCCACAGTGTTAGGATTTGCCTGGGCTTGTGGCTGCTCAGGATAAAGGCTAACTTCCCAATCTCCTTTGCAGCTAAAACATCAAGTTGTGGCCAATAGAGTATGGACAAAAAATGGTGTGTATATAACCTCAGGGTCATGACCTTAAAGGGAAGGGGCTTGCCCACATCTTGCCCCTTTCTGCTTGTGGGATGTGGATATGGTGGTGAGTCATGGGACCTTGTGAATGAGGGCAACACCAGGGATGGTAGAACAGTAAGATAAAAAGGATCCTGCGCCTGGATACCATGGAGCCGACATACTAGCCTGGGAAAGCTTATACCTAGACTGTAGGTAAGAGAGAACTTAAACCTCTTTGTTCTTTAAACCATTATTATTTTGGGTATTATAGCTGCTGAATCAAAATTGTTAATACAATCCTGAAATTATATGTATTTAATCATAAATCACATATATGTATTATTCTGTTATGTGTGGTGTTTTCCAACACAACCAATTCTTGGATTTTCTGGACACCGTCTGGGTGTTCAACAATTCATTTCTGATACTAACTTCCCAGAGTTCGCGTCAGACCACAGGTTAAAAGCTCAGTCCCACAAGAATGTCGCCATTTCAGACACCCTTTTTCAAATCCCAGGTTGTCACTGGTACTTCTGACTAATCAGTGATACATCTGGGGGTTTCCTGAACCCCCTCCTCAGATTCCACAGTTGGTTGGAATGACTGACAGAGCTCAGAAGAAAAACACTTGAGTGTCACCAGTTTAATAGAAAGGATACATCTCAGCAACAGCCCACCGGAGACGCGTAAGACGAGGTGTGGAGTGAGAGGTGCATGGGGCTCCCATGACTTCCTTCTGTGTGCCGCCCTCCTAGCACCAATGTATTCAGTGCATTGACAAGTGGGAACTGAACTCAACCTTCAGCTCCTCTCCTGTCTTCGCCCTTTCCCAGAGGTTGAGTTGGGAGATCAGGGAGGCTGAAAAGTTCCAATCTATAATCATGCCTTGGTCTATTTGGCAACCAGTCCCCATTCTGGTTACAGAAGGGCTCCCAGCCACCTATCCCCTCAGCATGCAGAATACACTCTTACCATTCAGGAGATCTGGAGGATTTTAGGAGCTTTGTGCCAAGAAAACAGAAGCTTGTAATTACCCCTATCAAGAAAGTACAAGGTTTTTAGGAGAACAGGAATTGGGGACAAAGACCAAATATATATATATACACATTATGCCACATTATGTTAGTGAAACACAAAAACAGAAGTGAAAAAGACGTTAGAGAGATGTAAGTAGAAATGTTTTTTTCCCATGCCTTAGATTATTTGTCCATCTATCAAGATAGAGGCTCAACTTGTAGATGACTAGAATACCGAGTAAGAAAGAATTTAAAGACTGGAATTTAAAGACTGTGTGGCTTGTCTGCTGTATAGCCTTGGCAACCTCAGTTGTGTGAGTTACAACTGTGTGACCTTAACTTCATTTAGCTTGTTTTTTCAGCTGTAAAATAAGGATAATACCACCACTTTGAAAAAAAAAAAAAAGGTGAGTTGCTATATATTATTTAGCACAGTCCCCCTTGTATAGGCAGTGGTAGCTATTATTCAACAAAACAACAATAAGTTCAGCGTTGGTGACCATTGCTGTTTCCATTGCCTCATTTTTTTTTCTTCATATTAAAAAAATACTGCATACTTTTAAATATTCATGTATCGGAATTCTTAAAGATTGACGAAATGGGAATTATAAACTTTGTTTTTCAAATACGGTGAAGGGTTTTTACTGACTCTTGGCTAGTCCTTATATAACCCTGCTTGGTCTACTTAGTCACCAAATAGTTTACTGAATTTAAGTGACTCATAAAAAACAAACAAAAACCCAAAAAACCCTCTTCATTTTATGTAAATTTAAGATGGGTTCCTAAGAAGCAGGGATAAACTGGTTTTTGTGAATCAAAAAAATGAAGTATATGTAATAATCAGAGCTCAAGACATAGCAACTCGAAGATTTCATACCAAATGTCCTACAGTTGAACTAGGGCACACATTATTTTAAAGTTCAATGTTTTAATTCACTACTAAGAAACCCAATCTCCATATATGGTAAGTTGCCTTTAAAATCCAAACAACTTTGTTAAAACAAGATTTTATTTTCTATGAAAAGGTAACTGTGCAGTAGTTACCAGGGAAGCTGAATACAATTACAAGTATGTAGGCTTGGGAATAGTTTTTAAATTTGCAGCAGACATTACAAAATACATTATTCAAGCAAACACAAGAAAACTCTGGATCAGTTTCTATGAACTATGAAAAGGATAAAGACAAAAAGCCTCTATCTCAAATCAATCAGGTTTTGAATGACAGCTTTTCAACATAATAAAATAAAGACACATAAAAAACACAAACTCAAAGCACATCTTCCCATTTTAAAGTATTTTTTAGTCCATATGTACTCTGAATAACCTTGTATTGAGTATCTGCCACAACTTCCATGTTCAGAATAAATGCATCCTGGTGTAGTGTTCTAAGTCCACAGCAGCATAATATGGTAGCTCTACTATTTCCAGATTCTGTAAAATCCCAATGCTATTGCCAGGCAAGTAAACACTGAGGCTGTGAAAAGAAGATACCGTTTTATGGGTTTCACATTTGATATTATTTTGCAGAGACAGACACGATAATGTCATCTTCAAATTAAACGAAGAGCAAAAAACAAAGGAAGTCCAACCAGTTTTCTACCTTAGGTTTTTTATTCCCAGAAAATTACGCTAAGGATAAAGTATATCCTTTAGGGTAGGATAAATACCAATTCTTAAAAGCTTCCTATATTTTAAACCAGAACAAGGATAGTTTACAAATTATGTCAGTTAGAATCTATAAACAGTGCTTCAAGTCATTAACATTAGTATTAACAATGACTACTAAATAATTATGCAATCTAATTTTAGATCTTATTAAGTGGGAAAACCATCTTACCGGAATTAAAAAATGATGTAATAAAATGGACAGCCATATCATCCATGAGAAGAAAACTTTAATTGCCTTTTCAGTACATTTAAAAACAATTTCATGATTATAAAAAATTTGTACATGGAATTTTAATGAAGATCTTCTAAAAAATTGCAGGTAGAAGAAAAGGCTTTTAAAGTAGTTAATGTGCCACCTACTCTTTGCTAGATTCTGGACAGAAAACCTTTTTGTTCTCCTTTAAGAAATTAAATCTGGGTGAGGCTTTCAGGGACTCCCTAGTTTCTAGTTTGTTTAAATAGCCTTGACTTTTAAAATAGAGACCCAGAGATGAATGGCAAACTTTTATGACTAAAGATTCAAGAAACAGCCTTTCATAGTAAAGCTACTGTAATTTAAACATATAACTCTACACATTATCCCATTTGATCCTAATAACTAATTGAAATTTGGTTAATAACAAGGTCATTTCCTTTTTTTTTTCATTTCCTTAATTTTAAGAAATGGGATTAGGCCTAAGACACACAGGGAGGCTGGATATTTGAGGAAAAAGAGTAACACTTAAGTTTCTTGTCAGTTATACATTCTGGTCAATTATACATTCATCCATTGGATCCTATACTCTTTACCATGTTCCACAGCAGTGTGCTGAGCAATTATATACATTACCTTATTTAACCACAATTAAAACCATATAAGATTGGTGATCTTATCCCATTGCAGAGATAAGGCAACCAGCCCAAAGTTATAAATTGCTGGCAAGTGGTGGAACAGGGACTCAACATTATGTGTACCTGAGTCCAGAGTTACTGTTTAAAAACCATTCTGTTCATCTTACCTCTCGCCACTTGAAGGATTCAATCTGATTTGTCATTTCTTGAAGCCATACAGTGCTGTGTAGGCGAATATATTCTCTGCTAACCCAAACAGCTGATAAATTTTCTTAGACTACCAAATGAACACTTAATTTGTTGTGAGGAAGGAGGCATTTCATTCCTTTTTAGAATATACAACACAATGGTTATTGTATTGAAGTTTCTGTTCTGAGTGGTTACTATGTCTCACTGGTGTTATTTTGCTACCCAAATTGCTTTCACCTTTGTTATCTTCCGTGGCCTGTGAAGGACACATCCCTACATAGGATGCTCAGGTGAGCGTGTATCTGGTACCTCTTAAGTACTCTGTAATGTTAGCTTGTCTTCTTGTCTGTTTAGAACAGAATCTGCCGCATTAACTATATCGATCACCTGGAACGGCCATTATCTTAGAGTGCTTCTCTCCTTGGCAACAGTGATCTGGGTCAAAGGGTGGTGTTTGACTCAAAAATGGGCCATTCAGACGCCTTCCCAGGGCTGTTCTGAATTGGAAATAAGGAAAGGGGTAATTTTTCTTGGTTGGCGAAACTCGAATGATAGGAATCTGGACACTACTAGTAGCCATGTTTCCAATGGATTGGAGAAAGATGGCATAAGAGGATGAGGCAGATATTCAGAGACAAGATACAGAGTAAACTGTGATTCCAATTATCCCTGAGGTCAAGCTATACCTGTGCCCTTCCATAATTCAATATGTAAACTAATATATTTTCTTTTTATGCCTAAGCTAGTTCAAGCTGGATGTATGATCACTGAAAGTAAGAGTCTTGTATGTATGATAATGCTGGGAAACCAAATAACCAAACTGATTACAATTTATAATTTTGTAAGGGTTTCTTCTCTAAGGAAATCCAAGATCTTGAATGCTCGGGCTTTATTAGTATCTTTTTTCATTTTTCCCCCTCTGCTCTTGATTAAATTAGGTATGTGAATAAGTGAAATATTATTGTTTTATTGGCAACATCTCAGGTATTCTACACTCAGTGGATCCACTCATGACGTTACCTTTCCACAAAGATTACGGAATTTTAATTTCCTAAAAGGCTTAACAACAACAGCAGCAGTAACAGATTTGAAGGATAAGGTCGAAAAAAGAAAACGCCTTCAGAATGGCTGGTTGCAAATCCTCAGTGAAAAAAGGAAAAGGAAGGTAACTCAGAAAAAGTATTTTTGTAAACAATGACATGTTAATTTCTTTTGTCACTTCCACTAAGTCTATTCAAGTCTGCCTTACATTCAGCCACTACTGAAAGAAAGCTTTTTGGAGATCACCACCATCTTCAAACCGAGGGTAAAGGGACTTTAACTAAGATACCGATCTAGGTAAACACTCTTAGAGGAAGCTGAGTAGAATCGGAAGCTACTCCTAACCTAGGTTGCTCTGAGATCTATTTTGAAAGTGAGAATGAACACTGCAAACTGGGCTATTTTGTAATTTCCCCTGAGCATCAGCAGTGAACTGAAGATCTCTAGTTAGAGACTTTGCTAGAATAGTGGTTTTCAAAACTTACTTTAGCCTTAGAACTCTTTTTCAAATCAATCTTCAACAGAAGCTATTTTAAAAAGAGAAAATATTTTAAAAGATTCAAGGTGAAGAAAGTAAAGGAGGTATGTATCAGCTAAGGGCTGGGGGCTCCACCTTCACTCATAGAGGCTGCCCAGAAAACCACTGATGGTATAAATCAGCAGTTTTATTTTGGACAACAATTCAGTAACATAAACCATCTTAAATGTGCGTATCTTTTGGACCCCCAATTTTAGATGGTCCTAAACAATTATATAGAACTACTAGCATAAGGGCAAAAAGATATGTGTGTGTGTGCGCGCACATGTGCGTGTCACACACATGGCTGTTAGGTACAATATCGTTTATAATGAGAAATTGGGAGAATGTTTGCTAACAGGTTTGGAGAAATAAATTATGGCATTTTCATATAATGGAATACTTTCTAGTAAAAACATACATATACCTTGATAAGCAAAGATACTTAAAACATTTGGTTAAATTTGAAAAAGCTGTAGTCTGTACAATACAATCTAGTTATTTTTAATAATCTGCAATATTTATATACAGAAGAAAAGGCCTAGAAAGAGATATACTCTAATAGTAAAACACATTACTTTTTATAAAAAGAAAGAGAAAAGTACTACAAAAGTAGGGCACTCTTCTCACTCCTTCGGGCCCTGTAACTGTCAGTCACATGGTACTTGAAGAGCTCAGTATGTGACAATCTAATTTTTGGGTCTCTAATTGTACTCAACCGGATTCAAAGTAAAGGGTAATTTTCCCCCTATGCTTGCTATGGTTTTTGCCTCTGTTTTAGTGATTTTTCTCTGTAAGTCCTTATGGAAAAACATAGGAATAAAAGTAAAATTTTCATTTCTTTTATTCCATTGTGGAATAACCAATTTATCTTTGCATCACTTTGTACTTGTTTTTATATATTTCTTTGATATCCATATGCGTTTTCCTATTAGTAGGTTGCAGAGTCACCAGTTAAACTTCTATCTTAAACTTACTGCCTGTTAAACTTCTATTCTTCCAGCACTGCCAAATGATAAAGGAAATGTGTTTGTTCTAGCTCTTTTTCTTTTGTGCTCCATGGTTACCCTGGGAGATAGGAGCTAACAGGTCTCAATATCAAATGACAGCAATTACTTTCTCTGACAAACACAATGTTAAAACCACAGGCCCCATTAGGCCAAGCCCCCAAACTGGGGCTTAATATCTGATTGTAGTTTAAACCTTAGTGTGGTTTTAACCAGTCAGTCAGGAATTTTGTGGATCAGCGAGGAGTCTGCCACATGAGTCCTCTCCATCCCCCACAAGATGAAGTGATCTGCATAAAACTTCCTGCTCTTCCACTAAGGGAAAGTGACTGCTTGGAACAATCCTTTTGCTAATAACCTACTTGCCCAACTCTCCTTTTCACCTTCCATTTTTTTAAGTTTTATTTAAGTAATCTCTATACCCAATATGAGGCTCAAACTCATGACCCCAAGATCAAGAGTCACATGCTCTCTCAACTGAGCCAGCCAGCCAGGTGCCCCAAAACCTTACATTTTGTACAACTCCTGGGAGCTCCCCTCTACTGGCTAAATGAGACGCTGCCCAGTTCATGAATGATTTAATAAAGCCAATTAGATCTTCAAATTTACTAGGTTTGTTTTTTTAACAGATTTGGTGGCAACAGTGAGATCTGAAGCAAACATCTATTGGCTTTTGGGGACAATGAGAAACACAGGTATGGCACCCCGCAAATGCTGAGAGTTCACTTTCTTGTCATTTGAGGGCCCTTGGTAAGTCTCTCAGTTTCAGCTCTGCTTTTTGGGTTCAAGCCACCCATCTAATTGGCTTTCCAGTCCAGGGTTAATGAATCAGTCTAGACTAACAAGGCTCTAATGGACTTAGCCCTTGGTTCAGTCTACAATTCCACATTGGAATCCTTCCCCCTGTTACTGGGGTTTACTGGTTTAGTCCTTTCCTCATTTCTAGTCCATAGTCCCTGAAGGAAGTCTGCTTGAGTCCAGTTTGGGAACTGCTGGTGGTGTGCATGGCCTTCTCTTGGACAGTCTGCAGTGACATATTTTCGTTACTGCTGGTGTGTTGAGGTACATGTTTGTCTTGTTTTGTGTAAATAAAGGCCTTTAACTTTTCACCAGCAAAATAAGACACTGCATTGTTTCGACTCCCCTAAGTTTAAAGGATTTATACCAGGATGCTTTTCTGATTCAGGATTCACTCCTTTTGGCAAATCCCTATTTCCCTGT